TTCCTTGGGCCCCTGACTACTGCTTCCAATGGTGCATGTACTTCCACGCTGCATACGCACTTTATCGTAATCTCTCGCTTTAATGCCAATTTCAAAACTTCAGTTCAAGATCTGTCAGGAATGCTCGAAACATGAGCTTACTATACATTACTACTAACGAAAGCAGTTGACGAGCTGATGAATCTTCGATACTCTTCTAGAGCTATTTCTCAAATTAAAGCGATTTTTCTGGCCCTCAAGCGCGTCCCCTTACGTCAGTTATTGGCTACCGCCGCTTGCATGTTCAGCGGTAACTTCTTACACATTTATTCTAGTCGTGTTTTTAAGAATTTCATTAATGGAAATGAACTAATTGTGTACACTAAGTAATGTATCGCTAATGTGTACAGGTTGCTCTGGAGTGTTTAATACGAAATCGACACATACCTTGAGCAAAACGGTCTCTTTCGAGGGAGGGGGGGGGGCAAGAGATTAAAGAGTTATTTGTTCGTTGAGCAAAAACAAAAAGGGGGAGGCGAAGCGTATCGGAAATCTGATTTCATCTTGACCAGATGTTTCCGAAAAATATCTCGTTTTTTGGATTTCCTGAAGTTTTGAAAAAATATCTATCAAAAACAGTTAAAGAACATTGGATGAGTTCAGTATCTGCTCAAGGTATTCAGAACGTTAACGAACAAAGTGGTTTTTTAGGAGCTGTATATTGCGATTGGAATCTCTGGTGCAATTCAACATCTAGCTGGTATGAAAGATAGCAAGGTAAGTGCTTTATTGCTAAAGCGGCTTTTATTCGAGGACACAGGCAATTATGAAGCTTTACAGGTTATTGTGGCCATCAACAAGGATCCTGACGCACCAATCTTCCAGGTGAGCAATCTTACGGGTGGATCTTTTCGTCATCAACATAATGTTGGAAGCGCTTACAGCGGTTATCGCACTTTCGGTTGTGTGCAACAGGCGCGATTTTGCTACCGTAGTCGCGTAGTGTAGTCATGCTGTCGGTGGGGGGCGGGGCAGAAGTTTCAAGTGAACTTGAAAGTTGGTTGGACGTTGTAGCGGTTAAAGAACCATAGGAAAGTTTAGTCGAACAATCATAAAGAAGTCGCAAGTAGAAAATGGAGCGCATAGATGTGATGTCTTAATGACGGGTTATGCCGTCTCATGGGGTAGGTAGTGTTTGATTGGAGGCACCGTTCTTCGAACGAACCGCGTTTTCTCGGCAAAAACTGTCGTGGATGTCTTGGCTATACTCGCTGAATATGCAGTAGATATCTCACCTTAATAGAGATTACCGTTATTTTTAAGTCACAAAGTTGGGTCGTCTACTGAAGAGACATGATTTCAGGTGGCAGACTATGGATTGAAAGCCGACCTATTCAAAGCCGTGCCTGAAATGACCGCAGCTCTGAAGTGAATTGTGCCTTAGTAAATTTGTGATTAATTTACCTCTGGATATAAATTATTATGAGTCAGTTCATGCTTATTTTCAATTGTCTGCAGTACATGAGCATGTTCGCTCCAGGTCGGCGCAAAATTTGGCTACTTTAATTGATGAGTGTACAAGCAATATCCATTCCAAGTACGGTTTTCGAACAATAGGTGGTAGGTCGACTGAGCTCATGGTTGGACACACATTCTGCCATTGAATAAGTGTGTTAGTGCGCCTCGAAATGGAGTTAACCACTTTGGCTACCGAGACTGCTAGTACCCCTCAACATGAAGTTACGCGAGGATCGCAAGGGCGGGGATTGCTTCTCCACCGTCTCTTCTGATTGGTTGGCAGGTGGATGTCGTCACGAGGAATAGGGGACAGAACGTTAGAACTCGGACAAGATTGCAGCTCGAAAGCAACCACAGAGCGAGGAAGCCATATGGAAGCTATAGAAAGGTGTTTCCAAAGTTTTCGCTAATGATGTCTCAACAGGTCCGACTCGAACCCCTTTTGTGGTTGGGGCGCATGTCTGTTGAGTACTTGTAAAGGAGACTAAGGACAGCACACGCTGGACTTTGCCCACCAAATGGTATGTATGATTTATTGGGTTGTCTCATAATTCCTGTCGCATTTCTATTCAATTTCAAATTCCTTCCGTCTAAGACCGTTTCATTGCGAAATACGTTAGTATGTTGAAGTATGCTTCAAGAGCCTTAACAGCGTGGTTTCGGAAGCGCAAGCCCTTAACGGGTTAATCAACTAGTAATAAAAATAGGTCAGTGACTGCAATGAATGATTATGCTTTA